CTGGGTCCATTTTCAATGCTTCTTTGGGGATTCCGATATATATGTCACTTGACACGTAACAAATGTTAGTAATATTTGTACAGAATCATTACTGTTGATCTCACTGATCTGTGTCCACACTGAAATTTAGGCTTGATTGCAAGACACGAAGTTCTGAAGGCCATATCTACAAGAAATCGTTAACCAACTCAATGAATCTAAAACTTATTCAGTGAAATCAAACAGAACGTCCGACAGCATGTCTTCGTGTTTATTTGTAGTGTAATGCCGAACAGAAAAATAGAGAAGCGGACATTTCAATGCTCGATTCTACTGTTTAAGCCCAAAGCTTGAAATTTACAAGGTAGTATATAATTCCACGTTAAATTTTTCTACATATATATCGCACAGTGGAACTGTATTATTCCCTGGATGACGTTTTGAATTTAAACCATCAGTAATATTTCCACCCAATGAAGGAACCTCGAGAACCTCAAAGAGAAAAAATGCGGGAATAAAAGTTTCATACAAACTCACAAACTCACTTAGAAACAAGCTTTGTCGGTTAAAGGATCCTGTGGAGGCAGTTAAACAAACAGTTTAGTATGTCTGATATCCTACAATGATTGTCAGGTCAAATACATGCGTCAAAGTAGTAGAACGCAGTTAGTTAGACTGGTGAAGCACAGTGGTTAGGACTCTCGCCGACCATGCACATGGTCCGGGGTTCGAACCCCTGCCGGCGCACACCCGATATCTATGGTATGCCTGAATTTGGGCAACCGATATCCATGCTGAAAGTTCCACACTTGTACTGAAAATACGGTGTGGAAATCAAGCTGTAAATCAAAAAAAAAAAAAAAATAAATCTAGATTAGTTGGCCCTTATAAGATAAGAAATCTGGAGAATAGTTCAGCTGTAACCCTTACTATGTAAAATTACCCACAACCATACGATAAGATGGGATAAGATGACAGTTCTAAAGTTAAATGTGGCAAGGTGGGGGGATAGAGTGATAGCCACAGCTTCACTTATCGTATCAACTGAAAATATGTGCGATAGAAGCAGTTCAACACCTGTTTATCTCGATGAGGATTTCGAAGTTGTGTGGATATAACTGATATGATTATGAACAGAAAATTCAGCTCAAAACGTTATCCCTTAAACAACATTGTTTCACTGTGTGGTAAATCTAATAAAAAAGTTAAAATGGAATTAAAACCCGTACCCAATTGTTATTTAATTCTGCAGTTTGCTACATTGGTTTTCTGAGCGACTCTAATTTCTCAACCTCGTTGAAATCTACGACATGAAAATGGCTCCAGGTGTGCTCCAGCAGTAGAAACAGTAACTGTAGATGCAATCAAAAAATGACTGAGTTTTAGTGAGAGGTATGCTTGACACGCTTTTCGATTAGTACGCTACGTTTGCTTACTTACATAAAACTCTCATTTCTCAGGTGTTTCTGGTTAGGAAGTTGTGGAATCTATTGTAATTATTTGACTTTCGAACACTGAGTCTGTGGATATAATCTTGTTGACTGATAATACCTATAGCTATCGGTTTGGCATATTGTGACTATCTATAATTGTATATACTGTTGAACTTACATACTCAGTTTGACCCAAGTCAGTGAGTCTTTAGTTTTGATATCATCTCTGTCAACTATATTTGGCAGTGGTACTACTGCTACGAGCTCTTTTTCTTGTTGTTGTCGCTTACCTTTCTGTTGGGAATTGTTTTCCTTTTGCTGGTTTGTTCTGATTGCTTTATTCCTGGTTTTCCTGATTCTAAGTAGAGCAACCCATAAAGTTGCTCCTCTGTAAGCCACAGATACATGTAACAACCCCCTTCTTGGGCATGAGGCTAGTAACCCCACCCTGTAAACAAAGCTGCTACAGAAACTTTAGCACGATGAATATCCTTGAGACAAAAGAAAACGTCTGTGTGGGGACATGGAACGTCCGGACCATGTATGAGACTGGCAAAGCTGCCCTTTTTGTGGGAGGTATGCAGACTATCTAAATCAAATCTGTGACCAATTACAGTCTCTTCGATACCGGGTAATACGGAATGATTGCTACTAGAATTGTCACTAACCACTGACACAGTTCAAATCTTATTCCCAACTAACGCATTCCTATATCATCTAGCTGACAGTCAGCTCGGAGAAGAAGGAAAATTGGGCGTAAGTCTTGCATTCATACCCTGCTGAAAACGTCACCACTGATGCAGAAACTCCAAAGCTTGAAGTTCTGTGTTTTACTTGTAAGGTATTGAAAGAAAAAGAAGTTTTATGAGTACACTAACGAGTGCGATTTTGAAGCTTTTTTGTGAGATGAGTTCACAGTTTACCCATACTCTACATCTCGGTGGTTTATCCTTATTTATCACGTGTGAGAGAATACTTGCTTAAATTGTAATAAATCACCACGTGTATGAACACAAAACTTCGCCGTGGATCCCAGCTCATATTCAATTACGAACTTGAGGATTATACTGACTTACAAACAACAAAGTAGCACAGGTGATATCAGTTCTAATCAGAGTGATTCTTATCCCTGATGTGGTAAGGGCATGAGGTAGGATGAAACCACAAGTAATCGAATTCTCTTTCAGAAACACAGTACAAGTAAACAATTCTACTTACCTTTACTGACTAGGCAGCTTACACATCTTATGATGCTTGTTGAAACGTTTCCATTAATGACTTGCATAACGCCGATTATCATATGGTTCACAAAATGATTTCTCACTAATGATTATAAGCGTAAGCGTTCCTGTAATCATCAGGCCGTTATATTTAGAATTTGAAATCAAAATGAGCTAAAACATACTGCAGCCCTCCAGTCCTGAAGTGAACAGAATAGAAATATTTATTAACTGCTCTCAAGAAAAATGCATACCCTTACAGTTTCATCAGCGAAATGTCTAAATTCGGATCAAACTACCAGCAAGAAATTATTCTCAGAAACCACAGCAGAATTCCTCCTACCATATATGGTGTTTCAGAAATAACTCCTAGAGTACTAAACCATTCAGAATACATATCACACAGATGCCAACTCAATCACTTCATTCATTAATATATAGGCCAAAACACTCAACCGAAAAAGAAGACAAGGTTAGCACTGTCGACAAAATAGATTGCACGAATTGTCATAAGTACTATATTGTTAGAGTGCTCACACCCTTCAACTCTGAATCTAAGAACACGGAGTGGCTGTCAGAAGGAAATATATATATATTCTTTCATATGAATGCATGTAGACAGTTACGGATGCCGATTTGATTGATAAAATGTAGAGGTTTTAAACAGTGGAAACACTGAAACTACCAGGGAATTAGATGGTTAGAGGCAATCGGCAGGAATCCTTGGACCTAGGTTTCGTGCTAGTTGGCACTCGTCAGCAAGGCGTGTCTGCAATCTGGAAGGAACTCATGTCCTTTCTGAGATTCGAACCCGCGTCACCCAGGGGATTCCTAAAAGCCTAATACTTAGGCGAATAAGTAGTCAGCAGACACGTTACTTTAGATCAAATTTATCCACTGATAAAGAATAGGTCAAATAATAAAAACAGTCAAATTCTAAGTGGACAGGAAGGTTTAGCAATGATGTAAATTAAAGACCAGTCACAACAGAGGTTTTACCAAGAGATACAATTATATAGTGCATAGGAAATTCAAATAAATTCACTCCATATTGAAGTTTACACTGAAGAAGCTGTCTAGGAGGATAGCGAAAGCTCCGAAGTCAAATCAACTACTTCAGAAAAAGTGACTGCATCAAAAACACTGAATTTCTATTTTTCGACTGGCTTACGGTTGATCACTGTTTTTTATAATTAAACACAAGGATTCTCGGAGAAGCCTTTGAGGTAAATGCAGGAGTTAGACAAGGCTGTCTACTATTAACGATGATTTTCCTAATTGTGGTAAACTGGATTATGCATCAGAATGTGAATAACGAAAAGATAGGAACAAGTTGGACCGACAAGAAGACTCTAGAAGGTCTGAATTTCGTCAATGGTTCACGTTTAGTATCTCAAAAACCTGAAAACCTACAGGTGAAGAGACTGGCAGTGAAGACAGGAATTTATGCAGACATAGAAAAGACTAAGGTGATGAAAGTAACCAACCACCAACAATAACAACAAGCATCATTCATTATAAATGAAAGAAGTTAGAAAGAGGTCACTTCCTTTGCTTATATGACTGGGCAGTACCGTTTGAACTACAGGCGAAACTGATGAGGATGCCAAAACTGGGATCAGAAAGACAAGACAGCCCTTCGTCACCACGAAATCAGTTTAAAAATCTTCTGCATTCAGCCTAAGTAGGAAGATTCAGATTTTCAACATCAATGTTAAGCCACTTCTTCTGTATAGGTGAGAAACATGGCGCGTTACTGAAGGCATTTCGAACAGGTAACTGGAGACTTTCATCAACGGCTGTCTTCGCTCCATACTGAGGATCAAATAGCCGGTCATAAAGAATGTGTGACAAGAAACTCTAGAAACGAAGCAAACAAGAACCTGTTACTCAACAAATACAAATATCCCGAAGAAAGTGGAGATGGATCAGATACACACTGGGAAGACCATCGAATGGCATCGCGCACCGGGCCATCACTGGAGTGGAACCCGAGTGGAACACGATGAGTAGGGCGTCCAAGGATGATGAGATGCTATTGTGTTCGTGCTTCAACCTTAACAGGATCTCAGAGAATAGTACGAATCGGATATATGCTGTTGAGGCCCTATGTTTCAATGGGAACCCAAGGGAACAATAATAATGATAATAACAATCATCGATTTTACAGTAATAAAATGGATTTCAGTCTTAAATGCCCACAGTCCTTTCCGCTTTTAAAATTTCCTCTGTAATCCAAGCATTTTCAAATTTAATATATATTCAGCAAGAGCAAACAATAGATGGATTTATATTTTATGTCAAAAAAATATGTCATCATACACTGTAAGCAGCATCACTGTGCGTGTATGCACTGTTACTCAAATATTGTCAGTGTTAAAATAAAATCGCACATAACTAACTTTCCACAAATTATTGGCCAATAGATTTGAACACTGAAACCTTCACTAAGATAATATATACTTGATGTATTTGTACAATTTTTGAGCAGAATGTAAGTAAAATAATATTCGTTATCTCTGCCTCACCTTCTTTTGTTATTTAGAGACACAACTCTGTTGTGTCAGTAGTATATTGTTTGAAGCGCAAAAAAAGATAACTTAGTGGACAAAGCAATAATAGTAAGAAAATATATAAAAAAACTAAGCGTATACTATCATGTTTCGAAATGAAGAGAAACTAGACGGTAAAAGTGAGGAAAATAGTACAAATGGACGACTGCAATGTTAATAAAAAGTACTCTCAATGATTTTGACTAACTTCGTAATATCTGAGCAAAAAAATTGTCAGTCTTCTTTTGAGTAAATCTTGAAGATTTATGCAGAATAAGACGGCGTAAAAGCATTTTTCTGCTTCTTTTGTTTTATTGTTATTATTTCTAACAATAACTAGCTATCTAACCACAGATACGGATATTTACTTTCCCTCCAGTCATAAATTTACACTTGAACATTGATCTATGTGTGTGGCAAGTAGCGCAACTTTTAAAAGTCTTCAAATTCATACTTGAATTTCTCTTTATCAGAAACTTTAAAATTCTCTTCATCCCATTTTTCAAAACAACTTGTATCACATGGTCCTTTACATTTTGGTTTATACGGTGGACGTACTTTCATTTGATACAGCTGTAACCAGTCTAAATCAGAGAAATAGGCATGACGTTTAATATCATTGATACCATTTTTTAAATTACCAAAACGTCGACTTAAATCCACCTGGATAAGATTACGTACTAGATCTTTTAATGCTGGTGAAAAATTGTTGGTAAATTTAACTTTTCCAGATATAATATGTTCAAATGTTTTCATTTGATCTTGATGCATAAATGGAGGGAAACCAGTTGTCATTTCATATAATAAAACACCGAATGCCCACCAGTCGACAGCACAATGATAACCTTTACTCATTATAATCTCAGGTGCCATATAATCAGGTGTACCACATAGTGTCCATGTCCGTTTGTCTTTTGGGATTAATTTAGCAAAGCCTAAATCGGCTACTTTCAGAAAACCTTCAGCAGTAATCAATAAATTCTCTGGTTTTAAATCACGATAAGCAATTGTTAAATGATGTAAGTATTCAAAGGCTAGAACAACTTGTGCTCCGTAGAATTTAACCATACTTTCCGGGAAACGTCGCATATTACGTAAAAGTGTAAACATTTCACCGCCAATAACAAATTCCATAACCATGTATAAATAACTATTATCTTTAAAACTATAAAATAAGCGTATAACAAAGGGAAAATTGCATGCACTTAATATACGTTTTTCATTGATAGCATTATCAACTTGACGACTTTTAACAATTTCAACTTTGGATAACACTTTTAAGGCATAAAATGTATCTGTTTCAATATGTCGTACTAGCAGTACACGACCGAATGCACCACGACCAAGTGTACGTATTCTTTCAAAATCCTCCATTTTAGCTGTATCTTTTGGTGAATTTTCATATAACTCATGAAATTCTTTAGCTTTTTCTTCTAAAATTTCACTCAACTCACTTTTTTCTGGCATACTTTGAGTAAAAGTAAATCAAAATTAAGAATGTTTTTATTCAAGTATAAACGCTGATGAGGTGCTCAGACGCGTATCCATGGGTTGATTTTTAAAACAAAATTAATATCAATCCTGTAATTTATCATCGCGTGTTTGCAAAAAAGAATTCAAGAACATTAGGATATCTCTTTATATCTCTTGTGATAGAATTTATTTAGTAGTGGGCTTCTCAGTTGATTTGATTAACTTGGAAAATGGATCAGTATAAGCCATGATGTATATTGATTTTTGTCAGTTTAAATTCCCGTCTGTGCTATTGATGATATATACCTATTTATATGGGTATAAATATGTATATATATATTTATTTCTCAAGGCTCCATTGACAGTTTATGCAATAACTGATTCACATGTACGAATATCGAATAGATTATTAATGGTAGCTTATGGACTATTCATGGGATGAACTTATAAATGTATACATATATATACATATATGTGTTAATACAATAATACATATATAAGCACACAAGTTAATGACAAACATGTGAAGACAGTGTGCTTGTAATATAAACAGATCACACAGTGCTGTTATTATTATTACGCCACATAGAATTAATTGAAACATTCAATTTAATGCAACCGTATTATACAAGAGTAAGAACAGTTCGTTTTATTGCCTTGTTATATAATAATTTTTTATGGTTTGGTAAGATTAATTCTTCGTCTATTCATGAAGAAGTGACCAACACAGTTGACGTATATTATCATTTAAAAAATCTGTCTGCATGTGAAATTGTCCAGCGGATTAAAACACCACTTTAACATTCAAAAAAGTGGATAAATTACAGCTGGAACATTTGTTGACCATAATTTTTTATTGCTGTGTGTGATAATATAATTTCGATTAATTATTAACATGTTTTAAATGATTAGATGGCTGAGGTTAGAAAGAAATCAACGTGACTACAGAATTTGGGCTGATAATATTCACATTGTCAGTCAGTATACAATGTGATGGCGATATATTGTTTCCCCCTTTCCGGCCGTTCAGTTATGGTTGGCCAAGTGAAAGTTAAGGTACCTAGCTGGGATACTTCTATGAGCATTAACAAGCTTGGTTGCTGTTATGGAGAAAGTAATGTAGGGAGAACAATTGAACAGTGTAAGAAACGCGTTACTGAGCGTTCTCCTTCGTTGGTTGGAAAATGTCAAACAAAATCCATGTGGAGCTCTTTTTTGTCTCATTTAATTGGTAGCAGTCACGATGTGGACAGAAGAAGAGCCGTCAGAGTTATCTGTCGCATTCCATCTAACCTTTTCAGTGGACTTCAAACCCGCCTTTTAAATATAGCTCAAGCTATGAGAATTTGAAGAGCACAATTCTACCTCAGTACTACCTCAATGATGCCATTCAGAAGCTTTACAGTCCGAAAGTTCCTCAGGTACAAAATGTTCACTGTGCAACAAAATTAATTAACCAGATACAACCGCTTAATGTCCGAGAATCAAGAAGGATATATCAAAAACCCTGTTTCATATGAATCACTAGGGATAGGGATCAACGAAAACTAGAGACTGATAATAAGGATATGCACATGCTGGAGTGCTGGTACACTCGATTGGTTCGGATGCTCAAATAACTATCATTATTGGAAACAAATTGTCTATGGAGAGTTTCTGAAATCAACTTTTATCCTACGATAGTGGCAGTGCTTACTTCGAAACTATTCTTCTGAACAGTTTCGAAGTAGAAAGAATTATTTAATTAAATTTTAGATTTTTCCGTCAAATGATTGGACCGAAGTGCTCGGTCTCAGGTTGTCTGTCTGTCTGTTTTCAACATAGAACTTTGCACATATGTGCGGCAGTTCAAGTCGCCACACTCCATGTAGCACACAAAGCAAGAGAAGAAAGTAGGAGAAATGCATAATATAGACAGTAAACAGAGGTGTGAAACAAAGGTATAGTAATAACGAAGAACAAAACAGTTTCATTGGAAATCATAAGTCACAAGGAGTGGATGCATCTGAGCCAGTCATTGAGAAAAATTTTGAGCCATGTCACCAATTGTTTCCAACCATTGCATTTTACCGTCCCGAGAACCCCAACCAGGAAGTCTACACCTTCCTACGTGGCTTAGACTAACTGTTGTAGATTTCATTGACTGGTGCCATGTTTTCGTTTGACCGCCGCTAGCTCTTTTCCAGCCTGACCCTGTATCAGCTAACATTGCCTATTGTCGAGGAAGGCGATGACTAGGCATACGTAACACATGTCCTAACCATCTCAGTCGATGTTATTTCACAGTCTCATTGACTGATTTCCCCGCCTTACCTAGCACTCGACGCCTAACCTCAATATTGCTCACCTTATTATACCACTTCACTCGGGAGATAGAACACAGACACCTATGATCGAACACAGATAATCTTTTCATGTCTTCTGCTCTCAATGGCCAGGTCTCACAGCCAGCCATAAAGGAGGATGGAGCGGACTGTTGAGCAGTACACCCGCCCTTTGGTCGATAGTCGGATGTCACGTCTACGCCAGAGACGGCGTAAACTGGCATATGCGAAACTATCCCACTGTATTCGTGCTGAGATTTCGTCAGAGATCAACCCGTTGGCACTGGCTGATGGTACTTCCCAAGTAAGTGAAGCGGTTAACGTGCTCTACCACTCAACTTCCTATTTCTAATCTAGGAATCGGTGTAGTCCAATTCTGCAACATCATCTTACATTTTACAGGGTCGAATCGCATGCCAAACATATGAAAATTGCTGCTCAAGGTGTTCAGAAGACTCTACATTTTGTCAGCGTCCTCGCCTAGAAGGACTATATCGTCTGCATATTCTAAGTCAACGAGATTATTCCCTGGTAGCAAGTCAATCCCTGAGTCGCTGAAGTGAGTTAGGGTTAAGTCCATTAGTACATCTATGATGAAGTTGAATAGAAATGGGGATAATGGGCATCCTTGACGGACGCCACTAGTCGTCACCACTTCAGATGACAATTCGCCGTAAGCCCTCACCTGGCTGTATGAGTACGAGTAGAGTGCCTTAATCAGTGCAATGTATTTTTTCGGCATTCCCTTTACAGCCAAGCATCGCCAGAGTACCTCTCGGTCGACAGAATCGAATGCGGCCTTTAGGTCAAGAAATATAATGATTGTTGGACGCCGGTAGGAATGCCTATGTTCTAGAATCTGTCGGAGGGTGAAGATATGATCATGCAATTAAAAGTTAACTGGTGGATGATGACTAGCAATGGAATCCAAGATGAGCGTTAACTGCTCAGACATCGTGGAAGCATCTGCACAAGAAGCTGACATGTCAACCTGAGACCGAGCACTTCGGTTCAATCAGCTGATGGGTAAATCTAAAATTGAACTAAATAATTTATATGACGCGTTGCACAAGAGGCGGCTCTCGTGGCCCAAGTGGTCTAGTGGATAACGCTTTGGCGTTTGAAACTATGGGCCCTGGGTTTGAGCCTTGGAGGAAACATCATCACTCACTGGGGAATGCAGGTACATTCAGATGACGAGTCCAAAATGCGCATCCTAGATTCCAGTGCTAGTCACCAACCACCAGTTAACTTGTAGGAAGAATTAGTTGTTCAGTGCGCATTTCTGTTAAATGGTCTCTCTAACTGATATTGGTTTGAGACCTAATATCGTATAAGTGATTAATTGATAATCAAAAGCAGTTCAGAAAATATAAGCTCACACAAGCCACTAGTTTTGAATAGATAAGAACGTTTATTATTATTATACAATTTTTTATTCTCTTTAATGGTTCATTTTGTTAAATCGCCTAAAGCTGTCGTACTGTTAGTGAAATCTCCACCCTGGTTCCATAGGCTTTCAAAAAGTCCTCAACAGCGTCGACTGTGAATTATTTTCAAATTCGCTTCAGAACTATGGAGAGCTTCGAATCTTTATCAACCCCATTCAACAGCTATATGATAGTTTCACGTGTAAGATGATTCGCCACAGAAAGATCAACAAAGAGTTTGAATTGAATACAGGAGTCAGACAAGGCTTACTAATATCACTTATGCTATTCCTAATTGTGGTGGAGTGAATCATGCAGTAGGTTGTGGGAGCAAGAAGAGAGGAATAAGTTGAACCGACTAAAATACTCTGGAACATCTGGACTTTGCAGATGATTTGTGCCTAATGTTATAGAAACTCGAAGACTTACAGGCTAAAATCAACAAGCTGGCAGAACAGACTGGCAGCAAAGACAGGACTTCAAGTAAATATAGAGAAGGCAGAGGTGATACAGATATCAATCACTGTCAACGTGAGAGGTTTGACAAGGTTAGAATTTTCAACACATGTCAACTCAGTCAGTTCTTCTATATGGTTTAAAGACTTCATATTCGTGTCGTCAAAAGCATTTCTGAAAGGACGAACTATTTCATCAACAACACTCAAAAAGTAACGTGGAGGAGACCACGCGAGGATGAGATGAAAGCCTTTGGGCTAGTTAGAGAGGAATGCAATGATCACAGTGAAAGGGATATGTGCTGCTGAAGCTCTATTTTTCGCTTGGAACCCAACAGTATAATAATAATGGTGATAACGGTATTGCTGTAATCATTATAGAGTATCTTTTCCTGAATTTTATTTTATTTTACTGATATTAAGTGTGGTATATTCAAATGACACGTTACGTCGCTGAAGTTTGTCACTCTCTACATAGATCCCATCAAAAACATGAATTCAAAATAACGTGTGAATAATACTACTTTGCTTTATGATCACTTATTCCTAAGGCAATTTCGAAGGCTGCATTCACTGGTTCGACTCCCAGTGGCCTAATGGTCTACGACCTTGTCTTGTAACCAGAAGGTACTGGGTTCGAACCCCTCTGAGTGCGCACTACTGTGGAGTCCCAAACTAGGATGAAACAGCTGTCCAGTACTCCCAGGTTTTTCACTGATTCTCTGACTGGATAGCTACCGTCAAACAGGAGGCATTGCTATGGGATCACCAGTATCTCCGCTAGTCGCCAATCTATTTATGCACTCATTAGAAACAAATGCAATTATGAGATGCCCTAGTCCCCCAAAGATGTGGTTAAGATACGTAGATGATACCTTCATCATAATCAAACGTAGTTTTTTAGATGAACTGTTTCACTTAATAAACAATATATCAGTAACTATTAAGTTCTCCAAAGAGGTTGAATCCGATGAGAATGAGTTGGCGTTCCTGGACTGTTTAGTACAAAGAAAATTTGATGGAAAATTTAAAATAAACATTTTTAGAAAGCCGACAAATTCGGATAGATACCTAGATTACCATTCAGCTCATCCATTTACCACCAAAGTAACTGTGGCCAAGAATCTGATCAACAGAGCCAAACGTCTAGTTACTGAGGAGGAAGATATTAGCAAGGAATTAAAATTGGTTCAATCCACTCTTGAATCAAATAATTATCCAAAATCCTTCATAAATAGATATT